AAAATAATTTACATTTAAAGTAGTTTTTAAAATGTTAAAAATGATGAATATTTTTTAAAGTGGTGAAATACTGAAGTTGTAGAAACCAATCAGCCAGTCAGATGAGCTGGTGTTCTCATTGAATGTTACAAGTGTTAGAAAAATTAAAAAATAATTAGAAGCAGAAAATATTAATGTAGACTTATTTTTAAATGAGGACATTAGGTACAATTAAACTATAGAATATAGTGTAAAGCTTTTTAGCCATTAAGTCTGTTTACTTAAGAATAATAAGCTTGTAATGAAGATATACATTACTAATTGTATTTTTTTAACTTGAGTATTATTTACTGTTATATATTTACAATAGTTAAATGCTTAACAGTAGCGAAAAAATACTGGTACAAAAGCCTTAAAATAAATAACTTGTAACTGCACTACAATTCAACCAATAAACACATTTTTAAACTGCTGGTATTTGTCTGAGACAATGTCCTATAGTCAAAAAAAAAAAAATTATGCAATAACATAATTTTTTTTCCACTCTATGTTACGTTAATCAACACTGCACTGTATATATCAGTGGCTTATATAGGTATTACTTAACAAAAATGCAAGCATTTAAGATGTAGATTACTACATTATTAGATGTACGTTTTTCCTCTCATCTTTCTTCTTGTATATGATTAATATAACCACTTATTTATTTAATGAAATGTAAAGTATGTTACTGTAAATAAGTTGTATTTGTTTTATGGAAAATAAAAATATTTTAAAACTTTAAAAAAAATGTATGCAATAACATAATTAAAAACCCAAAGTAGGCTACTAGTAAGACTAAAATATTACTATTGTAAATCTGTATCACTCCTCACAAGCCGATTATGAAAACTGTAATACTAAAGCGAACATGCAAGGCAAACTGACTCTGTAAATTACACGTCTGAGGCGAAAAAAAATGCAATATCATAATTATAATATCCAGAAATAAAAATAAAAAACTTCAGGCATTACATACTACATTACATTTAATTACAAAGACAAAACTACATAATTTTTGTTTATATAAATATCTTACCGCCCATCCTACGTAAAAAAAAAAAAACTGCCTACACTGGTCATCTATACAACACTGGATAAACCAATGCAACCAACAACACATCAACCCACCTCAACAGGTAATCTCAACAACTCAACTAAACAACAACAGGGCATGCAATTACGTCACAGATTGACACCACAAGCCTCAAACATAGCAACTGATCAGCAACCACAGCTGACACCACCACACCAGACGTACCTCATACCAAGGCCACACAACCAAAGATTGCTACAAAATAGCGGAATTAAATAAAAACAACATGCGATGATATAATGCAATGAAACAATGAATTACCAAAGGCAATACCATTATGCAACAACAGCATACAAAAACAAATGGAACAATAACATGCTACGGCGATATGCATTAACAGCATGCAAAATCGATGAGCAATACATATATCCAATACAAATATGTTATGACGAACATATGCAAATACAACATGCAGTAACATAATGTTGGAGAGCAACGTGTAATACTCAACAACAGAACTGCAAGAGAAATAATAAAAGGGCTCTTTTTTTAATCAATACAATAGTAAAGTTTTCTCAACAAAAGAGTTATTGTGACACATACGCATGGGGTTGCCAATAAGACCACGTCTAGTGGTTAGCTTTTTTGTACCAGACTAGACATGGAAAACCATCTTTTAGATTAAAATAAAATTTCAATTTGAGTCAAACTCTGGGGCACTAGATCAGGCCTTAAACTCGATAGTGTATACATTCAAATTATTGAACTTTTGTATCGCAATGGGAGACAAAAGTTTGCCAGATGACTCCTAGAAATGTAATATAGTCACTTACATTTGTTTTACTTTTAACTTAATAAGCATCCTGTATGGATGAAATAATTTAGGTTATTATTTGGTACATTAACTTAACGCATATGACAATATTTAATCAAAGTGTAGGTTAGACCTAGTTTCAAGAAAATGTTTTGTATAATTATTTCCTATTAACTCACATCATTGTTTCCAGGGGAAACAACGTTTAATTACATTTCATAAAGCTATTAAGAATCAGTGGCGTAGCGAGGTCGGGTGTCACCCGGTGCGGCACTTAATGGTGTCTCCCGTACCGGGGACACATTTTCAATTTGCTCCCCCCCCCCCCTCAAACTTTCGATTTGCACCCCCCCCTCAAGTTTTTCTCTATATGTTTTGCTATTTTTTGCCTTGGTGTCACACCCCTAATTGGTGTCACCCGGTGCAATCCGCCCCCCCCGCCCCCCCCCCCTCGCTACGCCTCTGTTAAGAATATATTATTTTCTCTTAAATGTACACAAGTTGAAGCAATTTAAACTTATGACAATTAAAACAATTATAATAATAAAGCAATAGTAACATTTTTAGAGAGCAATATACGGTTTTCATGAAGTTATAGATGTTTTTAAATAACCTGAGCCTAATGTAAATTGAAACCCATTGACTTTACTAACTACATATTTTGTAGATAGCTGAGGAATCGTTATAATCATAACTTTTACGTGTTTACGAGTGTGTTTATTTTTACTTCCCTACCCTGCACACATTAAAAGTAAATATTTTCTTTTTATAAATTTAAAATCAATAAAATAAAAGCTAAATTTAAACTTATAACGGCACCAACTTTTACAGCAACATCAGTCATGTGAGACATGTTTGAGCATGTCTTCCTATGACCGTCCTAATAAAACGTGATGTTAATCGCTAGCAGAGGTCCACCTAAACTTAGAGGCCACGTCATAAGCAAAAAATAAACACTATAGTTCACACATACGGAAGATCTGGTACATGCGGTTTTTTTTTAGCCACAACACCTTTGATGTCACTACGCTTTTCAATACACGCAAAAAGTTTGAGTATATTAGATGTTTACCTAGCGTTTTTTTTTAATGTATTAATTATTTTCCGTGAAACGTAGACCCTAATCTTAGTTTTTTTTTAAAAAAAAACGATAATTACATTATATACTTAAAAAGTAGTACGAAACAAAAAAAAGTGCTGATTAAAAAGAAACACATCACTACCAACATTTGAATCACCAGGAAAATTGCAAATATAGTGATATATTGTATCTCCTCTAATGTTAAAATTATATGACAGGACATTTTTTTTGTTTTCAATCTTTTTATTTTATATCATCAGAATATTTGTTACAACTGTCGATCCAATTTCAGAATCTGTGTAAAGCTATTGGTTTAGCCATTGTGCTTTTGAATGTTTTGAAGAAAAAATATTGTCTAGTATATCCATATTGTCTGTCACCAAGGAATTTGGTTGTGGAACGCCCACAATAATGGTTTGGAAAGGTCAAGGCCTCTCACAGAAATCTTAACAGGGTTGGAGGAGAATAGTCTAACGTCTGTCTTCCTGTGATCTAAACTATGCTTAAGTCGTTATTACTTTTTTTTTTCTTAACTGTTTAGGCCTATACTGTGTTGCCCTATAAGCTCCATTGTACACACACACACTATGACAACGTTTTATAAAAAAAAAAATCAAACTTAGAATTGATAAAACAGCCCTCTGATCTCCTTCTACATAAAATGTGATAAAGATGTCTTAACCATTTTAGATAATCTTCGTGATAATGCTGTCTAGGATACTCCATTCAACATACAATGTTATAAAATTTACCCTAAATTCCCCATTCAACACACGTGTGATATTGTTACGAAAAACTTTAAGATTCCCCAGTTTTTTACTATGCTGTGCTACACCTTACCTCTCATTCCACGAACATTATGATGCTATATACATTTTTCAAAGGCCTATAACTTGAGTTCAGTTTCAGATAGATAAATGAATTTCACATGTAGGTAAACGATCTAATTAACTGCCTTTTGACAAAATTTAAGTAAATCCCGTTGACCAGAAATAGTAATTAACACTATTTCTGATTTCTCAAAAAACGCATGTCAGTTTATAAATTACTAATTATATTCCTCACTATTATACACAGATTTTTTTTGCGCAATTTTTTTCTACGGGATTATATTATATTTTAAAAAGTTTAAGTAATTAAAATGGATTAAAAATCATGTCTCTATATCGAGGTGCCATCCACCGCAGTGTTATATAAGAATATTCGAGAAAGATTAGGGGAGAGCTCCCGGTTTATTAATTTTTTAATTATGTAAATGAAAAAATAAATCCTGCAAGAATGAAAAAAAAAATCTATCTATCATGATGATATTTTACTTTTCGTTACACTATCTGTTTATTCGCTTCTCGGTCTTTTGGATAATAACAAAGTGTAGTATATGTTCTTGATTCTGTTCTGATGTCGGTCTTCTTTAGGTCCGATAAAACGATATACTTTCAACTCATGATAATCTTGAAGACCTATACTCAAATATCAACTCGATCACTCAAATGTTCATATCGTCTTATTTGACTCAATGCCCTAAATGTAAATAATGCAGTTCTGTAGTTTTATTAACGACACGGATGTGACGACCTCGGAAGTGTGTTCGAAGTATCTTAGCACCATGCCTATTTTTTGTCTACTTTAACGAGCCAAGGAGTTAACATACACCACGAGCACTGGAACAGGTCGACCATTAATTTTACCGAGTTACTTCCCATTATATTAAGTCATATGACTCAAGGGATGCAACCTATACAAATAAATAATTGTTAAAAGTTTATGCTTAGTGGGACACTTAAACTATAAATGTAAATGGTATCGTGTTTTTGTTGTATAAATAAAATCCATTACTGAAAATTGGAAATATGTTTATGTCAATTAAAAATGTTAATTTGTTTTATCCATTTTGCATTTTTTTGAACGCAATAGCTATAATAAGTGCTAACTTATATATATTTGATGATTCAAAATAATCATCGCTCAACGTCTCTAATCTGTAGGTATTTCTGATAATTATTTTAAATTTGTATTATTAGACTACGAAACAGATAAAACAAAACATGTGAAGGTACCGCAGAAAAAAGATGCATAAGGGAGACAAACCACTAAAAGAGAAATATAGAACAAAGAGACGAACTCGTGATTTAGATCAGATCCACAATGATATGAAAAGTCTAGACTCTTTGTTAAAGCAGGACGCTGACCTGGACAAACCAGGGGCTGCACAGTTTTATTGTTTGACTTGTGCGAAATATTTTATAAATGACAAATCCCTGGCAGACCACTTTAAAAGCAAGCCCCACAAAAGAAGGTTGAAGGCGCTTGAAACAGAACCCTACACACAGGAGGAGGCAGACAGGGCTGCAGGGATGGGATCGTATGTTGCACCAAAGAAAGTCACAGTCCTACAGCAGAGTAAACCAAGTACAGAAGAAGAAATGGCGCCTGTAGACACTTGACGCATAGATCTCTACGTGGGGGAGGGGGACTTGTTATGCTTGTGTATAATGTACTTGTATATGAAAATGTCCTTAAAGTTCATCTTATGCTTTTGTCAAGAAAATATTTTATGTAGGTTTAAGTTGCACACAATTTTCAACAATAATTTCTATATGCATTCTACATTTTTACCAGTATTTATAAATACTTTTAAATATTTGTGCAGACATTTCAAAATACTTCAGGTTGATGGCCATTGACTGTTGAAGATTCTCCTTCTTTGTAAATATTTGGTAACATTATTATTACTGTCACTTCTTTTCTTTCAAGTCAAACCTAACTTGAAGTTAATTCAGTCATAATAAGGTACCAAAAAACTAATTAAAAGAAAATTGTTTAAGTTGTGTGCATGTGGAGTTAGCTATAAGTACAAAAACAGCAGTTTGCATACTTTTTGCCTTTGTTTTTAAATGGCTGTTCCCCTTTGTCAGTAATGAAAATACAGCATTCATATTAGCTGGTCCCTATTGTCAGAGAGTAATTAAAATAAAGCATATGAAAAATAAAAAAAAAAAAAAAAAAAAATAAAATTAAAAAAAAAAATGTGTATTATAAAATATCGCTGCTTTGGATTTTCTATTCGTATTAATCTGTGATAAAAAGTCCACTGATCGTCAATGTGTAAACAAACTATTCTTCAGCTTTATCATATAAAATAAGTTTAGATATAAGCAACATTATGTAAGTAACTGATATTAATTAGACAATAAATATGTATACACATATTTTAATGTTTCTTTAATTGTGAATAAGATGGCGTGTCAACATATTTTATTGCTGTTCAGTAGTTCTATGTATGTCAACGCGCAACTTTCCTTAACGTAACCGGTACTCATAAGAGCTACGTGGACTCAAGTACAATCTACAGACTTGAATTCCGATTCGAACTTGAGACTTTCAGGATAAAAGACTAGACTTTACGTGGAAAACAAATGATTAGATTCAAGCAATGTTTTAAGTTTGAGCTTAGCTCTTGGTTACTAGATCAAGCCATAATATCTGTATTGTATACATTATATGTGCAATTGGAAATATGCATATCAGTGGGAGACCCAACAGTGTCTTGCAAAATTAGAGATTAAATAGGGGCCTATACATCTAGTCATTTCAATTTGAATTACTTTTAACGTGAAGCAATATATCGTCCCCCAGTATTATATGAAGTTTCACTGGGTCTGATTTACCATTGAAAAAATATTTTAACTCATTTATTTTTTTATAAAATGTTAAAGCGCATTAAACAATGAACATTAAAGCTATTTTTATGACTTTATGTAGCAATAGCAGCCCGACATAATTATTTTTTCACTTTTGAGATAGAACTAAGAACTATACAGCCAGTTTCAATAGCTTTTCCAGAAGTGTAATGTACTTTTGTATGGGTAAAAATGTATTTTTGTGTAAGTAATACCTTCTTCTTGTAAATCAGACTGTCCTTACTCGTTAATTTTCACTTTTTATCACCTCCTTGGCAAAATGTATATAATAGAGTACATTGCATGACATGCATTGTTTTTACTGTTCTTTATAAGTGGGCCTATGCATTAAAATGTTAAGTTTGGTCTGTAACTTATGGTTGTCTGCATACATTAACATAATTTGATTTAGTCAGTGGCGAAACTAGTTCGGGTGAAACTCGGTGTGGTAACCGAGGGTGTCACCCTCGGCCCTCCTACAATTTTACATTTTTGGTTTGGTGTCTGCCCTCTCCCCAACAATTTTGTTTTAAGGTTAACTGGGTAAAGAATTATATTCACTGTAAATTTTAGTGATTTTAATATTGGTGTCGCCCTATAAATGGCGTCACGTGCGGATCACACCACGCCCCCTGCCTTGTGATACAACGAAAATCAAAGTATTAATACAATAAATGCAACACTCAGTAATTAGCTTAAAAAATAATGTATTAATTGAACACGATATAGGCCTAGACAATTTCTTATGCAAAAACAACCAATCTTGTAATTAAATATTGAGAATATACATAAACACTGCTTCTTTTCTCATAATGCTGCTAGGCAACTTGAATACAGGCAGGGTAGATATCCATATCATTGACACATCATTTCCAGGTCTATGTTGTTTTTATTGTTCTCTTTCGCACTTCTCTGTGGATAGAAATAAAGATAGACTACATCAGTACAAAGTGTAAAAACAGAAGTAATTCTCTCCCCCAACCCCTCAAACACACGAGTACTAAACAGAAAACTAGGTATAAACTCAACTTATTTTAATGATTTTAAGACTATTATGGTACTAACAATATGCTACTTCAGATTTTTATCTGTAACAAAGACATTTGTTTTCATCATCCATATATTGGAACACCTCCTCATTATGATTTTGACGATATACTATACAAAGTATACCCTACTTACTCTACTAGACAGTACATTTAGTATAGGCCTAACTTATAATAGGCCTATTATCAATTGAGATTTTTTAACGAACAAACTTTTGAACTAAATTTGTGTGCAATAACACAGTTAAGACAACTTATGAAACACAGATATACTTACGATTGAGGATCTGGTAATTAAGTCAATAAAATAAAATCATAATTTTGCCGACCAAATAACTTCAACACGTGGTATGCCGACAGCATACGTCCCACACACGCTACATTTCACCTAATTACGTTATTGTGTTACCCTTTTTACGTTACTTTTACACTAAAAACGCTACTCTCATATAGACTACTCTACATAAATATGCAAATGGCACGTTTTAACTAGGCTACTGTCCTAACTACAACAATGTCTTAAATCTTTTATCTGTAATTGAAAATTCATCAAAAACATAGAAGATGTCTTTTCGCATAATTTCGCATAAACTCACATTATTGTTACCAGGGACTACGACATGCAATTAATGTTCACAAAGATACTGAAACCAATATAAAATCTTTACAGTTTTACATTTTAACCCTATTTTAATTTTAATTAAAAAAAATAATAAATAAGAGAAGATTAGGTAAAATAACGAAAACATTGAGTTTACTAACCACATGTTTTAATTACTAACAAACATATTTATTAATGTTGCATTCCGATTGATAGTTGTTCTATTGTTTTTAGCGATAAAAAAAAATAGCAACTAAACTACCAAAGTCCAGGGATTGGCAAACATGAGCCGTATACGGCTCCTTTTACGTCAAGACGCGGCTCTCCAATTCCATTATTTTAATTTTTTTCTCAAAAATATTATACGGTAAAAATAAACACAACTTTAAACATACAAATAAACTAACAATAAGAATAGGTAGAGCATATGGACAGCTGCGAGCCGTTGGACAATAGGCCCAGCGTCAAAACTGTGTTGTGGCCAGCCCCGTGACAATGGTTCCATGCTTCCCACTACCGCTACAACTGTGTTGTGGTCAGCCCCGTGACATTGGTTCCATGCTTCCCACTACCGAAGTGCATATAAACAAAAGGCAGCTAATTATCTTTTACTTTTATGTGAAATTTCAATGGTCTACATGAAATAGTACTCAATGTATAGGCTTTTGAAAGTAGAAAAAAGTTCTACTTCCAGTTATCGGAAATCGCTGAAAAGATGATACGGATCAACATATTTTATATAATACTTATATATTAAATGTCATCATAATTGCTGTAACGATACTCAAGTTATCGTGTTTACAGACACACATACACGAACACACATGCATAAAAGATAGTGACATGGAAGGTAGAGAACGTTGTTGCTATAGAATGAATGCTGGGTAGTTTGGTTATGTTGTTTGTACGGAAGTTAATCTGTGTATTATAACTGGCCAGTCTACTTGGATACTAAATTAACGTTGTTAGTACTTTTGAATAAAAACACAAACAAAGAAAACAGAAAGAAAAAAAGTATATTGTCTAGTATATCCATATAACTGGCCAGTCTACTTGGATACTAAATCAACGTTGTTAGTACTTTTGAATAAAAACACAAACAAAGAAAACAGAAAGAAAAAAGTATACTATCTTGTATATCCATATTGGCTGTGACCAAGGAATTTGGTTGTGGAACGCAGAGGGATAGCGACCGGGGCGCAGGGGGGTACATATTTCCCCGGGCGCGGACCCTAGAGGCGCCAAAATAAGCTCATTTTAGCTGCTATTTTGAATTATAAATATAAAAAATATGGGGGGGGGGCGCCAAATCTAAAGTTTGTCCCCGGGCGCCGGGAGGGGTCGCTACGCCTCTGGTGGAACGCCCGCAATAATGGTTTGGAAAGGTCAAGGCCTCTCACAGAAATCTTAACAGGGTTGGAGGGGAATAGTCTAACGTCTGTCTTCCTGTGATCTAAACTATGCTTAAGTCGTTATTACTTTTTTTTTCTTAACTGTTTAGGCCTATACTGTGTTGACCTATAAGCTCCATTGTTCACACACACTATGACAACGTTTTATAAAAAAAAATCAAACTAAGAATTGATAAAACAGCCCTCTGATCTCCTTCTACATAAAATGTGATAAAGATGTCTTAACCATTTTAGATAATCTTCGTGATAATGCTGTCTAGGATACTCCATTCCACATACAATGTTATAAAATTTACCCTAAATTCCCCATTCAACACACGTGTGATATTGTTACGAAAAGCTTTAAGATTCCCCCAGTTTTTTACAATGCTGTGCTACACCTTACCTCTCATTCCACGAACATTATGTTGCTATATACATTTTTCAAAGGCCTATAACTTGATTACAGTTTCAGATAGATAAATGAATTTCACATGTAGGTAAACGATCTAATTATCTGCCTTTTGACACAATTTAAGTAAATCCCGTTGACCAGACATAGTAATTTACGCCATTTCTGATTTCTCAAAAAACGCATGTCAGTTTGTAAAGTACTAATAATATTCCGCACTATTATACATATATTTTTTGCGCAATTCTTTTTTCTACGGGATTACATTATATTTTAAAACGTTTAAGTAAATAAAATGGATTAAAAATCATGTCTCTATCCCGAGGTGCCATCCCCCGCAGTGTTATATAAGAATATTCGAGAAAGTTTAGGGGAAATAGCTCCCGGTTTATTATTTTTTAAATTATATAAATGAAAAAAAAATCCTGCAAGAATAAAAAAAAATCTATCATCCTAATGATTTTTTACTTTTCGTTACACTATTTGTTTATTCGCTTCTCGGTCTTTTGGATAAGAACAAAGTGTAGTATCTGTTCTTGATTCTGCTCTGATGTCGGTCTTCTTTAGGATCGATAAAACGATATACTTTCAACTCATGATAATCTTGAAGACCTATACTCAAATATCAACTCGATCACTCAAATGTTCATATCGTCTGTATTTGACTCAAT